GGGGGGGGCGGGGTAGGTAGAGGTTGCTATTCATGCGGAGGGGGGCACTTACCAGAGTAAAGAATAAGAGCTGAAGAGACGCGGCAGACAGAAGAGAGAAAGGTGACAATCAGAAAGGAGGAATAATAGAGACGCCGGAGGATCGGACTCGAATAATCATTAGCACATAAGATGAGTAGGAAGCATTGGCCGCGAAGGGGCAACAAGATAAAGTGGAAGCAGCGTGTGTGAGGAGAATGGTGGACATTGGTGGACATTGGTGTGGTCATGGCGTGGGACCCTCCCGGAGGTCGGAGGATGACCGCAGGCCTAGGAGACATTGCGGGGATCTGACACACACAGATAGACGATTCTCTTACCATCGGCGGCGTCGGGTCGGAAAGTGATCCTAATGTGGAACTTCTTGTGCGCGTCCTTCATACTGGGCAGGGCGAGGTAGGACTGGGGGCGCCCGGTGAAGTAGGGAACGATTCTCTCTGAAAAATGATTTACACCCAATAATAAGATGAGAAGACGGACGGCGCGGTCAGACGACCAAACACACGGAGCGGCGCAGTGATCTCACCTCGAACCTTCAGCATAGAGAACGCCGTGACTCTGCCCTGGCGATTGGCCGCTGTGCACACGTATGTGCCGGCATCCTCGGGCTTCGCAGACACGATGGTCAGGACGTTGTTCTCGATGCGAGCGTTGGTCGGGAGGTCTCCTTCCAGCTGAGGGAAAGGAAGTGTCATTACTATGAGATTACAGCCGGGACGCGGGAAGGGTTTTTCTCAGGGCCGGGCCCAGTGGGTTCAAGCAACAGTTCTGCCCCCCCTCCCCCCATTGTAATGTATAGACTGTGCTATATAAGCCCGGCTTTGTTGCTCGCCGACGTTTTATGACCGGAACCACAAGCGCATACCTTGGTCCACGTTATTTCAGGGACAGGAAAACATGTGATGGAGAGACTGTTCTATATAAGCCCGGCTTTGGTGCCCCCTCCCCCCATTGTAATGTATAGACTGTGCTATATAAGCCCGGCTTTGTTGCCCCCCCCCATTGTAATGTATAGACTGTGCTATATAAGCCCGGCTTTGGTGCCCCCTCCCCCCATTGTAATGTATAGACTGTGCTATATAAGCCCGGCTTTGTTGCTCCCCCCCCC